CCTTCCATCATCATCTGTATATATTTGTTCCGCAGGGATTGTATCTCTAATGTATAACACTACTCCTCTCTTTTTACAGTGTGTCAACGCTGTAAATAATTTCCCTAATTTTTGTTGTTTCAATATATAATCATGCTGTTTTTTAATATGTACTTCTTGTAGGCAGATTATATCAAATTTTAATTTCTCTAATTTATGAAATACTTTTCTTCTTTTAATAGCTGAATTAAGCCAATTTATATTAATTGTAATCAGTTTTTTCTCATCCGTTTTAGACTTTATAAGAAGGATTTGTTGCTCTAGTAGATCTTGGTTCTCGTTGTTCTCTGGGTACACCACCTACGGCTCCTTCTTCTTTTTCAATTACTGCTGTACATTCCATTTGAAATTCAATTAATGACTCTTCTTTTCTTGTATCTTCCTCCCTTCCTCTAAAATATTCCAGATAGAATAACTCAGCTTTTTCAACTGTATCAATTCTGTGTCTTTGTTCCTGCCAGGGAAACATGAGACCTTCGGGTATCAGCCATCTGTAATTTATTCCTCTCTTAAGTAACTCTTTGGTAAAAAATAAATATTCTCTTCTTATCTCTCTCACTCTTCTCGGTACCTGTTTCAGTACCACTATTTCTTTATCTTTGTACTTAAGTGTTTTTTCTCTTGCCACCTGCAGTATTTATGATTTAATTATTTTCTTAGTAAATCTGATATGAACTTCTCTTGGCAGTTTATTGCTCATCGCATATCTTGTATAAACATGAAAAACCTCATCCATTCCATCCATCATCTTCTCTTTAGTTTCCTCTAATGCTTCTACCAGGATTTCTGTCATCATTTCAGCAAGGTTTTCACCCTTTTCTTCTATATTTTGAAATCTAAGATAGAATTCTGATCTATCAATTTCCCATCCCAATGATTGCAGAGATCTGCCCTTATCTCTTTCCACTTCACTCAATCGGGTATCCATATCTCCAATCTTCTTATTTCTTTGTACATCTTGTTCTTCAATTTTCTTAATTCTGTCCTCATATTGCATAATCATCTGTTGAATATTTTCAATTTTTTTCATCTGTCTTTTCCATTCTTTGCTCAATATTCTCAGTTCTCTTTTCAATATTATCTGTTTTTACTTGTATCTTTTGAATTCCTTGCATAATCATCTGCAGTGTCACTTCTTTCTCCTTCTCTTGTTGTAACATCACCTGTATTGATCGTTGTCCTCCAGATGGTGAGGAAGAAGAAGTCGGGATTGAAGAAGCTGAGGCTGGTATTTTTCTGCTCATCTTAAAGTACAATAGAAAAATTGAGAAGAAAAAGCAAGAGCAGCCAATTACCACTCCAGTAAAAAAAATTTTTGAATAAAAGCAAAAGATAAAAATAAAAAAGGGAAGGGAAAAAATCTTCAGGCACTTGAATACCTTAATCCAATTGGTTTCAATTATGTAGGAAAAAAGAAAAAATATAAAATGGAAAAAGGATGAAAAAAAAAGGAAAACATTTAAAAAGACAGAAATCTGAATATTCCCCTTGCTAAAAAGGTAAAACAAAGGGAGGGGGGGAAAGTAGTCTTATTCTTGCATCAAAGGACTCAAGTCCAAATATAAAAATCCAACTGGGGGCGGGAAATAGAAAAAAAAAAAGAATGAGAAAAAGCAATTCTGTCAATAAGCAAAGCACTGCCACTATATGTTCGAGGCTCTTTACTAAATCAAAAAACAAAATTTCCAGTTCTCTTTTCAAGGTCACTTCAATCTTCTTTCTTCAATTTCAAATCCAGACTCCAGCTATCAGTAGTTTCACAGAAGAGCACCTGCAAACAATCTACATGCTCTTCCCATTATCTTTTCAATGAAAAGCACAGAGTCCTTGAATGTAACAGCAAATGTATCAACAAGAAAGAAAGAAAGGAAAACAATGTATCCAAGCCTCCAGGTGGCAGTGCTACTTATTTCCCTTTCCTTTCCCTTCCCCTCGAATATTAAAATCAGGAATAAAAAAATAAAAAGAATCTAAAATCATTAAAAAGAGAAAACAAGAGAGAGAAAAAACTTTTCCAAAGAGTTATTTTGAAAGGAAAAAATTAAAATTAAAAAGGAAAGACCAGTCCAGTTTAAAAGTTGAAAAGTTTTAGCAAAATCCAAAGTTCCAATAAGAAGAAAGAAAAAACCTTCAGGTTTAATTTGTGCTTAATCTCGCCACTTAAGCACTTTTATCTTCACTTTTAAATTTAATTTTTAGTCTTTTAGGGTGTTCTCTCCAGAAAAAAATAACTAGAAAATTATCTCACCAAACTGACACACTTTCTTTCCAGCTTTCTTCTGTTCCGGAGCTGTCCCAGCTTCAGCAGCTTTAATGGCTGCCTCTCCACCACAGGAAAAAAGGGCTTCTCCTGGATCTACCAGGGACTTTGCAATGTCCCTGGGATCGACAGGATATGCCCTCCTCTGTCACCGTCTCTACGGGACGGTTTAGGTCTGTTGGGACCGTCCTGCAATGGAGATATCAGCAGCGATCTTAGAGCTTAAAGATTGCATGCTGTACTGCTGCGATGCAAGCTCCGCCCTATAATATTTTTGACATAGTTGTTAAGTGAGATTATTATGTAAATCTGGCTTCCCCAAGGACTTTTCTTGTAAGAAGCTGCCTATGAAGGTAGCAAATGTCAACCACATGACACTGGGATGCTGCAGCTGTCATAACTACATACCAGTTGCCAAGTGCCCAAATTTACATCAGGTAACCATGGGGATGCTGCAACAGTTGAAAATGTGAGGACTAGATGTAAATAACTTTTTGAGGTACTATTGTTGACTTTGAATGATCACTAAAAGAATGGTGGTAGGTGGAGGGCTACCTGTAATCAGAGACAGATCAGGTTGGTTTATGTATATCTTATGATGTAACATGGACAATGTTATGACTTAACTGGGGTAAAAGCAACCTTTCTCAACCTGGTGAGCATTTCCTGATACTTGAGAATGCAACTGTAAAATTTCCTAGCTAGCATTGGTTGGACATACTTATGAATAGACAGGGAATATTGATGTAATACCACCATGCTTTTTTCCTACTAATTGTGCAGGATGTGATATGTCTTCTTCTGATGAAGAAGTCACCTGTCCAAGTTGGGTTTTTTCAGTCATTTCAGGCACATATTAGATATACAGATATAGATACAACTATTATACATACATACATACACACACACACACATACATGCATGTATACATACAGACACAGACACCCATACTAAGGACCATACCCACTATTTGCAGCCAACTTTGTTTCAGCTTTTAAAATAATTGTTTTGTTAGGATGATAGTATGTGGGTGCTATAAACCATAGTTTTGTGCATTTCATAGATAGCCTACTGTATAATTTTATTATTCATGGGTATTCATTAATTTTGCTGCTATGGAAAGTTCTGTTCTATGATTGAAAAGTTCATGACACAAGTAAAGAGTAAAAATAAAATAAAAGCTTTCTGTTTGTACATGACTTTTTTATTTTTTACAATATACACTGCAGGGCAAACAAGCAGAAAACCAGTAAAGTGTATCCATGAACAACAGTTAGCAGTTAGAAGACATGATGGAAATCCCTTAATTTTACAAAACATGTTCCAATTGAATCATAGTTTCAACTGAGAAATTGTGGGCATCCTAGACCAAGTTAAATTCCAAAATGCTAAGGAATTCCCAGAAGCTTGGCATAATTGGTCATCAATAGACACATAGAGATAAACCACATTTACCCACCATTCAAGAGAGGGAGAATTAAAAAAAAAAAGCTAGAAGGAAACAAAAAAAATTAGTCTCTTCACCAGCCACAAGCCAAATAAGCAGGGATTAACATCAGATAAACAACCAAGCAGTCAATAATACCCTAATCAGGAAAAAAAGGAGAAGACAACATCCCCACCAGCATTGGCAGGGCAAGCTACTGTATACCGGCAGCAACCCTCACACTCACTAGCACTATTGATCTTACCTAGTGAGGTAATAAAATGTATGCATGCAAATAACGAAGCTCAGAGAGTTCAAACCTATATTCTTTTTCTTAAATAGTAATAAATAAGTTCTATATACAGACCTACCCATGCAATTTATATCATTAAGTTATCTTTACTAGTTATTATTGTGGCCTTGTTATATATGTATATTTTCTATATATAAAAATGGTGCCATAAATAAGTATTTGGCTTGACTTTGAGGTAATAAAGCAGTGAATCATAAAATGCTTCTTTTAATTGGTTTTAGCTACATAATTCTCAACAAATGTTTAATCACATCTCAGAAACATCATTTTTAGTGCCATCCAGTGGCCTTTTTATATTACTTTATGGTTCTCTTTCTCTCCCCCACCCCTTCCTATCTATGGGCATTTTTATTGTTAACTATCCATTTCATTAGGCAATAGAGAAGGACCTTATTATGACAATTATTTCTAACAAGAGGATCTAAGAAGTTAAATTGTTTATATCTTTTTTTCTCTGTTTAAAGTGTTTAGGGGTTAGAGATAGAGTATAAATCTCTATTGTTTAAACGTTTCACCATCCAGTGTTTTAATACTTTTGAAAATGGGTCCACTAGAGTCACTCTTAAAAAATAGTTGCAAACAGCGACTTTATTAATTAAGTAGTTGGTGATAATACACATTTCATCTGTCTCAAGCAGACACAGCAACCTTATCAGTTGATATGTACTGAATTATAATTTTATGTAAGCTTTCAGTCACCAAAACATTTTTACTTCTAAAAAAGTTTTTAAATTATTTTAAAATAAATCTTAAAAAATAATTAAATGGCTGAATCTTACAAATTTGCACACAGAGCATAGAACTTGTGAGAATTTGGCCATTAAAAAACAAACTAGTCAGTTGGTTGCTTGTGTCAGTATTCACCATGTATAATTTGTGCATATAATACTCAAAGCTTTAACATTTTAGGAGCATAAATGTAATTGACTTTTTAATTAAAATATGAGCACTTTATTTTATAGGCTTGTCGATATGGGCATGTCCAGCATTTAGAACATTTTCTCTTTTATGGAGCAGATATGGGAGCTCAGAACGCATCTGGAAACACAGCATTGCATATCTGTGCACTTTACAATCAGGTTAGTTATCACAGCTTTGCCACTTTGTTATCGCAGCTTTGCCACTTTATTGTTAAGCGGATCACTTCAGTTGTTAAGTTAGTAAGATGACTGTTAAATTTCTTCCCCATTGACTTTGCTTGTCAGTAGGTCACAAAAAGTGAGCACATGACTCCAGGACATCGCAGTCGTCATAAGTATGAGTCAGTTGAATTTAGATCATGTGACTGTGGGGATACTGCAACAGTTGTGTGAAAAATGGTCATAGGTTACTTTTTTCTGTTGTAAGTTGAGAACTACCTGTAGTTGCTCCTGCTAATGTATATAATTCATTGTGTACATAACAATAGCATGTATTAATCTCTACACGAGTCAATGCTTTGTGTATGGATATAGAAACTTATTATGATTTAGTTGTTTCAAGTCTGGAATATCATGAACTACTTGCTATTCTGGAAAATTTTCAAATAGAAAACTATTATATTATCTCTTACAGTAGATACATATGATCAGAAAATAAATGAGGTGTTCACATATTTTACAGAATATTGCATCTCTGGAATGCTAGTTTTTATACACAGCTATTTTGGGGGAGTTTTAGGCAGGAGTTTTGAACACTTGTAGCAGCTGGTGACAACAATATGATTCACATGTAATGTTGGTCCCTTTGCTTGATTTTTCCTTAGGTTATTGTGTGGTAAGTTTAAATTATAATTTTGAAAAAAATCGGACTTTGAATTATGTTTGAACAGGCCAGTTGTGTAATAATGTTTGGATGTTGGTTCCAAAGTAGTAGTACTAAAAGGATTCATACAAAGTTTTAGAAGGTGACTACCTTAGAGCTCAGGTTTCAAACTCACAGTGTCACGTTGCCATCATGTGACGTTTCACAATGTTTTTTCCCTTCACAGAGCTGGGGTGGGCATGACCTACGCCTATGCATCCAGCTCATGGGCTGCCAGTTTGACACCCTATCTTAGGGAGTCAGCTATCAAAAACTTTAAAATATTTGCCATAATGCATTTATTTGGGATGTCTTCAGTATATTTCATTCTTTGGAATAGTGCCAGGTGTTTGGATATTCCTGCGTTTACTGTAGCAAGATCAAGTTTAAAGCAGCAGTTAATGATTTTATGGTTGGTTAACAATTCTACATCTTTGAAATGTCAAAATGGGAGTAATGAAGATATGAAGCTATGATTTGGGTCTGAAAAAACAATCAGAGAAAATAATGAAATAATACTTGAAAAGTTTAATGGTTTAACTTGGCTAGATTTTTTTCATACAAACAGCTGGAGATTTTACAAGAAGCAGCAGAAGTTAATTATTTACTCTGGTCATTTTACCCACCAAAAGGAAGCAATTTATTAGTTAGTTGATATATAACCATATTTGTATAAATACACAATCTGAATATGAGAAATAACACATTTTATGCATCTCTGGCTGTTTTTGATGTTATGCACAAATTATATCTTCCTGCATCACACAAATTATGTCAGCTTGTAAAACAATAGGTTTTGCATTTATGACAAACAAGATTTTAGTATTTTATCAATCCCCAAAACTTTAACATTACAGTGTTTGGTTTGATGTGGGTAGTTTATATAGTTTATTTAGTTTGAACTGTGTAGCTTTATTGGGCAAGATTTTAAAAGTGATTTTCCCTTCCCTCCTTCCAAGGATTGAGAGAGAATGACTGACAAAGTCATCTGGATGGCTTTGTGCTCCAGGCATGACTAGAACCATGTTTGATTTAACGTTTTATAATAATTCCTTAAGGCTCTCAAAAGAACACTGAAAATCTGAAGCAAGTGATTATATACTGTATTTTTTGCACTATAAGACACATTTTTCCCCTCCAAAAAGTGGGTGGAAATGTCTATGCATTTTATAGAGCGAATGTTGCTGAAGCCTCACCCACCTGCCTCATCCACCCGCCTCACCCACCCTTCAGCCTCTGCCTCCCAGCAATTTGTCTTCTTGCAACAAACAGCCCGGTCAGCTTCAGCACAGCCTGATTTAGCACAAGCAGTTGATTGGCGGTTGGATTGACCTCCCAGAATACCATTGATCACCGATCAGTGTGGGAATCACTGCCACTGTTCCAGGCTGTGGCTGCTTGCCACTGCCTCAGTGCGCCCCATTTTTAGCCTCCCAGAATACCATCGATCACCAATCAGTGTGGGAATCATTGCCACTGTTCCAGGCTGTGGCTGCTTGCTACCACCTCAGCGCGCCTCATTTTTAGCCTCCTCAGGTTCCATTTTTGGCCTCCATGCATCCGTTTTCAGCCTCTGTGTGTCCCATTTTCAGCCTGTTCCAGGTGGAGGAGATTCCCGCTGCCTGGAACAGGCCAAAAACGGGACGTGTGGAGGCTGAAAATGGGAGATGCGGAGGCCAAAAATGGAGGACATGGAGGTAGCAACAGGTGGCGGTGGCGATGGGCGGCAATGGTGGTGATACCTGCAGCCTGGAACAGCTGATCTATGGTATTCTGGGAGGCGGATCTAACCACCAGTTAACTGCTTGTGCTAAATCAAGCTATGCTGAAGCTGACCAGGCTGTTTGCTGTTTGCTGCAAGGAAGCAAATTGCTGGGAGGCAGATTTTTTTTCTTGTTTTCCTCCCCCAAAACTAGGTGCGTCTTATGGTCTGGAGCATCCTATAGTGCAAAAAACAAAACAAAAAATGGCAAATACCATCAACAAACTCTCCATCAGGTTAGTGTTCTCTAGATTTTTTTTAGCCTCTAACCGTGATGGCGAACCTATGGCACATGTGCCACAGGTGGCATGCAGAGCCCTCTCTGCTGGCACACAAGCCATTGCCCCAGCTCAACTCCACTGCACATGTGCACGTGCCTCCCACCAGCCAGCTGATTTTTAGGTGTCTGTCATGCATGCGTGAGGGGGCCAGGAGGCATGCGGAAGATGCATGCACATGCACGGGGGACATGGGGGTCCTGTGCACAGGGGGGTGCAGCACGGCCTCCCACACTTCCCATTTTGGGCCTAGTAGGCTTCCCTGCGGCCTCCTGAGAGCAAAAATGGGCCACAGGGGGCCGTACCTCCTGTGCCCTGGTTTTACTCCCAGGAGCTATAGGGAGGCCTACTAGGCCCAAAATAGGGGTGTGGGGGGTGCAGTGTGGCCCCAGCTACTTATTTTTGCTCCCAGGAGGCTACAGAGAGGCCTACTAAGCCCAAAATGGAGCACGGGGGCTCTCACACATGTACAGGGGTGGGCGAGTGTGGGAGGGGCATGCACACATGTGCAGGGTATGCAGGGGTCACACACGCATGAGCAGGGGGTCTGGCAAGCGGGAGGGGGGTACGTGTGCATTGCATTATGCGTGCAGGCACACGTGCATGCAGGCACGTGCATAGGTGCACACTTTCAGCACACGACGACAAAAAGGTTAGCCATCACTGGCCTATAACTTCCCTTATTGGCTATACTGGCTATAAATTGATAGGTTTTAAAAACCAACACTTCTGTTTATAAGCAGGGAGTCTGGCTCTGTACTACATTCTTGTTCAGTTGTTTCAAACTTAAACTATTGAATAGGGTGGCCCACGTCATTCCTCTCTCCAGATAGAGAAAGAGTTGTGAAAGTCCAGAAAAAGATGGTAGCATTATCAATCTCCAACTTAGCCTGAGATAAAATACCCCGTTTTTCCAACAATACGGCCTCCCCCAATAGGAAGTCCCAGCATGTTTTATAGGCATGAAATGAAATTAAGCCCCTCCCCCAAATTAAGGCCTATATTAAAACATGTGAAATGGGGGGGAATGGTGGGGGGGCTTGCCGTTAGGAAGTACTTTTGTTGCACACCCGGATATGGTGCTGCCTGCGTTGACCCCGATACGAAGTGCCCCACCAACGCCGAGGTCAACATCCAAGCTGTCGCCGCCCGCCCAAAGATGCAAGGGGGGGAAATTAAGTCACCCCCGAAAAGACGGCCTAGCCATTTTTTCAGGGCTCAAAAAAAAAAAAAAAAAAAGACCCAGCCTTATTATATGAGAAACATGGTAATTGGGAATTTCCTGTGGTGCAAAATGGAGCAACTTTGATCCATGGTGATTTTTGAGTATATATGTGTATGTATGCACTACTTTTTTCATTTTTTGGATGTGTATTTTGGATTGAGCTTAGAGGAAACTGTTCTTACAATGACAAACAGTGGTTCACCAGTTAGCTCTTACCATAATTGATAAACAGTAATAGAATGCCTTTTTTCTGAAAACCTACCATAGTTCCTATCTAGGAGGGATTAAGATCATTATTAACAATTTTTAAAAGCCTATGCCTTCAGACGATCTGCTTACTATTATGCATGTGGAAACAAAAATTGTAACAATCTACTTATTTATAGGACAGCTGTTCAAGAGTATTGTTGCTACGGGGCGCAAACAAGGAATTAAAGAATTATAATAATCAGTCACCATTTCAGGTAAGAATAACTAAAGAAAACAATGTTTTTTGGTGTGTATCGCAGCTTAAATGGCAAATGAATATCTTTTATATTTAGTGCATTGTGTAAAAAGCATTAATATGAAATGAAAGTACTGTATAGAGAGGTTTGGTGGCCTGGAAGTAGAGCTCTCACCTCACAATCAGGAGGCTGTGAGTTAGATCCTTGGTAGCTGCAGATAATTCTCTCTCAGGTAAAATGAGTAATCGTCTGCTGCGAACTCCATGTAGGGGTCAGGAAAGGTATCCAACCAATAAATGCTCAGGTCCATTTAGACACCCTGATGCAGGGGATTGTAAGGTTGTTATAATCTACTTTTTGTACATGTCCATATTACTCTTTGTGAAGATCAGGGTTGTTTAGAGGATGTATTTCTGATACTTATAGCAATTTTAAATGGAAGGCTAAAATACACAAAATGTTGGTTTAGTAGAATTTTGATGTGTCCCATTTCCTTAGATTTTGTATATATATGCCTACATAATAAACTGTCTGTGCAACATATGAAGAATTTAATATTTCTACTTGAGGTGCAAAGTTAGAATGTAGAATGAAAAAAATATTTGTTTTTTTATGTATTCTTTTTGTCATTTTTCTTAAGAAAGTATACTAATATAGAGATCAACTTCTGTTCCAAATTAAGAAAGTGAACAAAGATAATTAGAAATATGGTCACAATTGTTTTTCTCCTTCCTTATTTTTTTCAATTCAACTGGCATAAAAATAGAAGGCAAATTGCATTATGTAGTTAACACAGCCATATAGAAACATATTTAGTTGATTCTTGTTCACTGAATAAGCTTTTATGCATGGTAGACATGTTCCAAAATGTTCACCAATCTGGAATCTGAAGTAGCATCATCTGGAATTCTATCACCTTGACTCACTTATAACTTCACTTAGCATAGTATATAAAATGATTTTGAGACTCTAATGATTTCTCAAGGATACTCAGTAAGCTTCAGATATGAAAAGATTATTTAGATTTGAATCTTCCATATAGAAAATCATACTAGTATCTTTATACTACAGACACTATGCTTTCTATTGTGGAATATTGGTGACAGTATTCCCACCATGCAAGTGATTCTCTAGATTAAAAGTTGCATAAAATAGTGTAGGTATCTTGAGGTAAAATTAGGCTTTAGTTAGGCTTATGGCTCAATATCTTGATATTTACAAGACCATTTTTTCCAAATTTCTGCTCATCCAGAACAGAATGCCTATTGAGAGGTATAGCAAGAAGAGGGCATGAAAAGAGGTATTCTCTGTGAGGTATGCCCTCTTCTGTGCCCCTAGATGGCGAACCTTTTGGGCACTGAGTCCCCAAAGCTCATGCGCACGTGCATGCGCACCCCCATCATGTGTCCCGCCCCTGTGCATGTGGCCACCCCGTGCATGTGCCTCAACCCCATGCATGTGCCCCGCCCCTGTGCATGTGCACGGCAGAGACCCAAAGTCCAGCTGGCCGGCAGGAGTCATGTGAGCATGCGCAGTGGAGCTGAGCTGCAGTGACAGTGCGCATGCCCACAGAGAGGGCTCTGCATGCCACCTGTGGCACACATGTCATAGGTTCACCAACACTGCCTTAGATGAAGGCAAGTTTATTCTCATGGCTTTTGGAAACTTGTTATAATCTAGCTTTCCTGGATGGTTTTTGAAAATTAAATAGTACTGGGGCCATTGGCACCAGACAGGTAAATATAGTATGGATTGTATTTTATTTTAGTGTATGTTATTAACTTATTGCATTATTAAAATTTGTATACTTACAAATGAAATGTTCTCACACTACTCAGTTTACTCTTTCCTAAACTCTTTTTATTTTTCCCTCAAAACATCTTTTTTTGTTGTGCAAGTCTCCAGAGTGTTAACAGGAACCTAACATATTTTTTTTGCCACAGTTCTAATTAAATTGCTAGGTCAGTAGTCTAAAGGCAATAGTCTATCACCTTTTTAAAAGACGGAGACAATGATGATGCTGTACGATTCATCAGGGATAAGTCCAGAATGACTTATATGACTTAAATAATGTTATAATACAGAGGCTCACTAGGTTAGCTTATTCTTCAACACTTCTCCACATAGCGGATCTTTACCTGTTCTTATGGATGTAAATATTTAACAATACTCGTTTTCTGATTCTGTTATCCTTTTGGGTACATTTCTTAGGTCATTGCTATGTTATTGCTTTTTACCTTGTGCTCTTATTTTGTGACAAACAGCCTGCAACCCAGTAAAGAGCAGAGAAAGAATCTTAGAAAGGATCCACCCTATCTTACCAGGTGGTTAAAAAGAGGTGGAGGGAGATTTCTACTTTTAGACTTGCAAGGTTCTATAATGCAATCTTATAATAGAGTAGAATTAGCTTATCTTGCGTTTCTTGTCTGGTCTACTTGGAAGGTTGACAACAGTTGAAAAGAGGTCTTTGAAAATAGCGGGACAAAGAAAACGTCTCAGTGAGTCATCTTTTCTTTTGGAATTACAGAAAGTGAAATACAGAGGAAAACAATACTTTTAAAAATATTTTAAAAGCACAGTGAAGAACTTAATAAAGATTTTGACTAAGAAAGTGAATAAAGGGATAAAGGGCAATCTTATTAATGTTAAAGATAAAGATTTTGGAGAAAGTGCTTTTACTATTTATATGGAAATAGTTAAATAGTTAAATAAAACCAACCAGGCCTTCCTGGAAATATTGATTGCCTGACATCAAAGGGAAAAAGATAACTGGTGGAATTTACAAAACAAGTAGTCAACTGTAAGTGGGGATGGAATGTGTGATAAAAACTATGGAAAGATAGATGGGACTAAAGCCTTAAGGGTGTAAAGGAAGTGAACCAAGAGAGAGAGTGAATGGGAAGTCAAATTTACGCCTCATGCAATTGTTTAACATATGAAGAAAGAACTATTACTCATTTTGATTTGATGGATTATTAATATTTTTAGGCATTGGGCTCTGAATTAACTAAGGGATTAAATATTATCACTATTCCTTGAATACAAAAAATTAAAGATAAAATAAACTAATGACAAGCAGTTTTAGAATTGACAATGAAGGTGTTGAAACTCTGGATAGCTTCTGATTTTTAGGATCAACCATCAATAGTAAAGGAACCAGCAATCAAGTAATACGCCTTAGAGTAACAGACTTGATCAAGTAGCCATGAAGGCCTTGGAAAAGATATTCAAATGCTGCAATGTCCCTATATCACAAAGATCAAAATCACACAAGCTATGGTAATTCCCTCTGATACTCTGTTTAACCAAAAGTTGGACTTTAAAGAAGCAAGATATGAAGTATTGTTGCCTTTGAAATTTGGTGTTGAAGAAGTCTCTTGAGAATATTTTGGACAGATTCAAATTAGCCTCCCCTTTGGACATATTCCAGCTCTCTGGAAAAAGCTCTAATGTGAGCAAAGGTGGAATGAAATTGAAGTAAGGATGGCTGGCAGTGTGACAATCCATTTATGTGGTTGCTAAAAGTCAACAAGGACTTGTATATCATCATCGAAGTACTATATGTGGATCAATCGGGACTGATTGGTGATTGACACGTGCAATGCCATGCAATGTTTGTTTTCTAAGCAAAAGCTATTTCTCAGATAATCATATCATATCAGATCCATTCAGGTTTATAATTGCTTTATCTGATCTATTGCATAAATTAGTCTAATTATTCCTGCAATAAAAAGGAATTTAAAAGAAACTTATTTTTATAAATACAGATATTTTCTTCTGAAATAAAACGAGACAAACAGAATGTTTCATTTTCTGTAGGAGAATGAGAGGCAGAGCCTGGGGGTGGAGTTAAGAGAGGAATAAGCCTAGACTCATTACATGTCCACAAGTAACCCAAGTCCAGCTCTTGAATTCCATTAACTTTTAACGAGTGCCAGTTTAGTGCTGATTAGATTGTTGTGTAAAGGCATGAGCAATAAACCAGTTTAACTTTATGTGTGGTTCTTCATTCTTTGCCCTTGACATTTTCTGCCATAAAATAAATGTTACAAAACAGAAAAAATACATATAAATTAAAAGTATATGATGATAAGAAATGCACTATATCTTTAATTATTACTAGGCAAAATTTCATTCAATTAATACTATTTTAAAAATTATTTCTTCAGTTGTATTATTTAACTCTTCGTTTGAATGTTTTCTCTGTAAAAATAACGTCGTTATAAATACTATACATATTGTACACATAACAATAGAAGGAAAGGAAAGAAATCCCTGCGGACTTTATTCTGCTAGTTGTTTTCCAACTGTAAGAGGAGATGCTCATCTCTGTTTCGAGGCCTGGAGCCAGTACTATCTGAAGACATTTCCACGGTCATGTGGCCAGCATGGCATTGCAGGCACATTACAATATTTACTCATTATTTCACATCCTAATCCTTAAACACAAGCCATATATTTTCTGTGATACATAGAGTACTGTGAATGAAAACTACCGTCTTGTGTTATACATTCAAGATTAGGGGGAAGCCAATGCTAATATTATATCATTGATATAATAATTATGCCTATGCTTGTTAGAACAAATTGGCACAATCCCACATAAAGCCTATGGTTGCAAAGTAGTTCTGGGTAGAAATTACAGACCTATTTGAAAATGGCTCCCAGTGTTCATTAAGTAGATTGTGATAGGTATTTTTGGCTAATCTCACAACCTATAATTTAGAATTAATATGGGAGTATGTTACTCACCAAATAAACAAGGTTCACCATATAAGCATGGCTGAAAGCTCTCTATGAGAAGATCATATTATATCTTCTAGCTGCTATGAAACAAAATGATATGGTAGAACAATGCATAAATATTAACTTGTTTTTTTGCTTTTTTCAAGAATTAGTAGGCATTGATGAATTTGAATAATAAAGAAAGAGGTTTTTTATCTGAAAGGTTAAATATTTTTAATAACAGACTGAAGTATATCAGAAATATTTTCTCTCTAGCCCTAGTTATATAATTC